CGAATCTAGTTTATCTGCCCCGTGGAACGAAGCGGTCGAGAACTGGCCGGGGCACCCCCGCTATATTATTCTCTCAGCGGTGAAATCGATATCTGTCCGGTAAGAATTAGAACGGCCGGGCCCCGAATGCGAACCGCTCTCGTCGCCGCTCGTTTCAAGTCGGGAACGCAACACCCGTCCGTCCGTCCGTCCGTCGTAGCGCGTCGGTTCGCCCGTACACGAATAATTTACCGTTAATCCAGGACGTTATTTAACTCGGCGGTCCGGGTGTGGTAACGCAAATTTCTCGTATTCAGGTTGCGACCGCAGTGCGGACCACCTTTATCGGCCGTGCCATCTGACCTGCATACGCGCATAATTTTTCGCGGCCGGGCCCGGAAACGATTTATCCCCCGGTCACGACGCTGCCTGGATCTCTTCGGATCCGCAGCTTTAAAGGCTTCGTCGCGTTTTCTGTATCTCGCGGCTCCCTTAAAGCGTTGATCGTTTAAACTACCAACGACGAGGGATTAATCCTTTGAGCAGGCGCGATGGTGGCTCTAGGATTAATCGTCTGAAAGTGCCAGCCTATTCGCAGAGAAATTAAGCTTACCTATTCGGTTTTCTTTTGATTACTTCTTTTCACTTGCTTGGCACTTTTTTTATTCGAAGTTAGTGAAACGTAATACGGCTTTCGGGTTGAAACGATGGGGTTGGAGCTGGCCTTAGATCTAGGAAACGGGTAGCTTTAGATGTCTCGAAGATCAACGTTGAGCGATAAATTCAGAGATTCACAGACGTATAAAGAGATAAAAGTCTTCTTCCGCGAAGGTAAAGACCGAAATTCATTCGAGCGCGCTTAATTTTCTACGTACGTTGCTACCTAATTTAACGTACGCTGCGCAACGCTCGTTATCCCTCCGAGTATCTTTTCACAGGCTAGCAGACGCAAGCTTCGATCGCCCCTAAAATCGTAGCTCTGGTAACGCGCGTTGTCCGACAACGGCTGGCTCTGCGCTTTACGTAATCTACTGGACGACAAGGAATACGAACAAGGAAACACATACGCGAAGTGATACATTATACTAACGGGAAACTAAAAGCTCGACGATCAAAAGCAAATTTCATCATTTCTGTTCGCTCGCGAAGGGAACAAAGTTTTCTACGTTAATTCTGAAAAGAGCCCAGTCTGTCCCGTTTGCGAGACGGAAGAACTTTGCGTCTCTGTTCTTTCAGGACCACTGCAATCAAGCTTCGCGGATCGGGGAAAGCCGAGGACGCGAGAGCACGCGCTAAACGCGGGAAATTCGCGGAGAGCCGGTTAGTCGGCCAATGAAAATTGCATGAAAGGCACCGGCGACGGGGACTGTTGCTCTCCGAAGGGGTTTCCGCGCGTTGGTTCGTCGTCGGCCGCAGGAGAACGGCACGAGCGAGGCAACGGCACACGGAAGAGGCGACGCGGCAGATTTGCCGGCGAGTGGCAGCACGCGTGCGCGCGATTACGCGTATCCCTGACAAATAACCGAACACAGCCATTCCGGCGTCCCCTAGGAGCGCTCGAAGGGCTCGCGAGGGGGCGATTCGACGGAGAGAAAGCTGCCGGCGAACGAGGACGACGAATCGAAGGCGCGACAGAGACGAAAAGAGAGCGAGAGAGGGAGAGAGAGAGAAAGAGGAAGGCAACGAAGGGTGCCGTAAGAAGGGTGTACTACCCTTGCGAGAGCCGAGTCTTACCGCGTTAATTGCAAGTACTTCCCTCGGGGTACCGCAACGGGTATACAGTTCCACCCACCTTGCAGGTTCCACCCCATCCAGTAGGGTTTAAGGGTACGCAGGGATGATTCGCGCACCCCTTTTTCCCTTTTCATGCTCACCCGGCTCCTTTCATTCCTCGCCAGTGGTTAAAATATTAGGATATCCCCGAGGTCTCGTGCGTTCGTGTTAGGGCTATCGCGCGCGAGCCTTCTTCTCTCTCTCCGCTCTCGAACTCTCGGCGTCGTCAACCGCTCGACGAGACGCTGCCCCAGCCGATTCGACTACTCGAAAACTCTGCTCAACCCCTCGGCGGCCTTGCCTCTCGCACACGACCGAACGGAACGGGCCGAGATTCGAATCAAAGGCGCGCTGCTGCCGCTGCCGCTGCTCTTGTCGCGAGGTTTCTGCGGTCGCGATCACCGCGCGTAGACAAACGAGCGACTCTCCGTCGCGTTCCGCCGCCTTCTCAAACCCGTTCGAACGCTTTGGGGATTGCGCGGCTGGCGGCAACCAACCACCGACGCGCCAGACTACACCTTGCGTTTAGCCTGCGGAAGATGAACGTTTCAGCGCTTTGTGGGCGAGCTCCGCACAGTCGCGTCAACGATTTCTTCAATCGTTTCTCAAAGGTGCTTCTAAAGCCAAGATTGTAGAGTCGTTTTACACGCGGCTTGTCACGCGTCGCTGAAGTAACCGCTGTACGTTTCGGCGCGACTGCTAGATCACTCGATGGCTAAACTGAGGAATACGCGGGGATGATCGATCAGTATTCATCTTTTCTCGCCCAATTCTCCACCGCTTAGATATTTAAGAGACCCGTCGAGACCCTCGCGAGACTTACGGACAACCGCATTGCGGACCTCCGCGAGAAACTTCCTGCCAGTGGTTCGAATCAGTTGACGTCGAAGTTTATCAAAATACACGTATTTTCCACCAACGCGGCGAACGTTCCGAAGGATCGTCCGCCTCCGCGAATGTGAATTCGCCGCGTCCCGGCACGACGGGCGGACATTCTAATTCCCAGAGAACACGGCGAAAGTAATTTTGCCGTCGTTCCTCGCGTTACGACCGCTTTTTTCCTTCTTGGCAAGACGCGCGGGCAAGCGACGCGCAAAACGGACGGGATAAGGGAGAGAACGAAGAAAGAAGGGTGGCTTCCGTGGGGAAACGGGGGGCCAGATGCGAGATACCGGAATGTAGAACGTACTAAATTACTTTCATCTCGAGTGCTCGTGTTTTTCTTCCGTGCGTTCGCGGCTTGTCACGCCCGCACGCCTCTAATTATCGAGTTATTACAAAACGAGCGTAATTGCGACAGACCGAAACGATCGCGGAACCTGAGCCGTGGCCCGTGAAACCAGACGGGAACCGCGTCTCGTTCGGTATCGGGGAGTAGTAATTGTCACGGAGCGGCACCTGGGCTTCTCCGTCGCAGGGGATAAAAATAAGATCGCGCGTCTCCTCTCCCAGGCCGGGAAAAACTTATCTCGCTCCTTACTTTTCAAGTTAACGAGCGGGCCCGACGCAGGGATTAAACGTCGGCGAGTTCCTCTCGCGCCCCGCCGGCTTCGCTCCCTTTGACTCGCCTCCCTCGGAACAAACTGCGATCAAATTTATCCGGAAAAATTACGACGAGGTCCAGGTAACCGTTCCAACCTCATGGATCTTCGCGAAAACCCGGTCGGAAAGCGCCGAGCGGCGCGAACGCGTTCCTTTTAACTCGAGAATCCAATTACGCTTTTCTCATTTCTTGGGAAAAGATGCTGAAGCGGTCGCGACATTGTTTTATTTTTAAATGGATGTTACAGGAAATGGAAAGTAATTAAAAGTGACTGAAACCGGTGAAAGGTAACGAAACATTGCGAAACGAGAAGACAAGCGAGGTGTAATTGCTCTTTCGTCGGCGTTCGAATTTCATAGCTCGCCGTTTGAAATCCATTCTTTAGCGGCGTCTATTCGGCCTTGAGTCTCTTAAATCACGAACCTACGACGGCTAAACTGAACTTTCCGCGAGGAAAGTCGGGGAATTTACGTGCAACGGTCGGGTTTAGTCGGACAAGACGAATCATCTCGTCTCTTACGAGAAACGACCGCTGAACTCGTATTTCCTTATAGCTCTGCTACCGTGGCCCAAGCTTGTTTCACCCCTTACACCGCGGAGGCACTTCAAAGCACCACTTTCGTTAATACGTTGCTCTGGAGAGGCGACTCTCGGTCGCCGCTTGATTCGATACAGTAAAATCATATTACATATTCAATATTAACGCTGAGTTCACAGAACGCGTCAATTCGACACATATTGAATGTTATCGATCAGTCGTAATATCTGATTTCTGTAAATATTGATGAAATAAATAATACTCTTCAGTTATTCGATAGATATACTCTAGCATCTGAATATGCATCGTACAATCATCTCACTCGACTAAGATGCTAAGAAATAAGTGAGGACTATAATCGACGACGGAAAGGGTCGAAGTCGCGGATCTCCGTCGGATTCAATTGGAAAGCCAGCAAGTTGTCTCCGAGGCGACGCCGCGGCAACGGTCGCCCCCCGTTATTCGAGGCGGAATCACGGCTGTATAATTTATTTGCAAACTCGCCGCGTCGAACTTGGTACTTAAAGGAACCGGCCACGCTGTACCGCGGCCCCGTGGGAGCAGCCTAGCAGACCCTCGTGATTTACCGCGCTCCGGGGTCCATGTACGGAATACACATTTAATAGAGATCGCATTTACGGCTGCATAAATCAAAGCGCGGCGCGAACATCGGCCGAACGTCGACCCGTCCTCGTCGATGTATTTCATTCGACCGCACGTGTCCGCGCGCGACCGACGCGTCGCGCCGCGTAATGTTGCCGTCCGCCCAGTTCGCCGGCCACCGACGGTCACTCCATTTCACGTCCCGCCGACGATACTCGGCCAATGTGCCCTTTAACCCTTCGACACCGGCGGTCGGACTTGTTTTCACCCAGATTTTCAGAGACTCCGTTCACCTTCTCGGCTCTCCGTTGGGTAGACCGAGGCGAATCGGATCGAACGAACATTCCCTTTCATCGATGTTCGAGTGCTCTTCGCTTGATTCGATCTGCCAGTCGATTATATTGGATTTGACGGGAGCAGTATACGTCGCGGAAGCGTGTTCGACGAAATGTCCACGAAACCCGGTAAGAGTTTGTACGATTCTTGGTATCCACGAGAAGCCGTGAAAGGTGAAATCGATTGGAGGCCTCCTTTCACGATTACCGAAAAGATACTTGTACTTACGTGGCTCTTCCGTTTCCACGTTGCCACCGGGCTGGTCGGCGACGTCTCAAAGGTGCGAAATCATCGTATTTTCGCAGACGTCTAGGCTCTCTCGGCTTTCCACGGATGAAACTCCTTCGGCGAGAGAAAGGTCGAGCGGCGGGCGGCGGCGGGCGGCGGCGGCCGGGGCGTGGGCGGTTGCAGGCAACCTTTGACAAAAACGTCGTTTGCTCCCGAGAAAGAAATATTAGGGAAAAATGTAAAGTAACGGCAGTTTGAGGAACGCGGAAGAGCGAAGGGGCCGGAGAGAAATAGATGGACAAGCAAAAAGCCGATGAGAAAAGAAGCGTCAAAGCGGCAGGTGGATGAAAAAGGGTGCAAGGCGGAGGCCGGGGGCGGGCCGGAGGGCAGAGGAGGGAAAAGAAGGCTGCCAGAGAATAGGATGAGGGGTGCGTCAAGTGTCTGCTGCTGTTCTGGCCTGTGTTAACACTTCACGCCTCCCTTTTACGTATTACCATCCCCACTTGGGAAGTTTCGCATGAACTTGGACGGTCCGTGAGTCATAAAATACAGCCGCAACTGCTCTTACGCGATACGCCGCGGCCCGTTCAAATGAAAAAAGTTCGGAGCCCCTGAAAATCGCGGGGCGAGCGTTTCTTGGCCGCGAATCAAATTGCCCCCCGCACGCGGGCCGCGTCCCGTTCCATGGCCGTTTAACGCGACTCGTTAACGCTTTACGGCACGGCGGACACGATTTCCGAGGAGTTTCTTGCGAACCGATCGTACCGGTATCTCGGGGCGAACGATCGTTTCGGCTGTTCGCGAGAAACACGTTACTCCTTTCGATGCAATATTATACATTCGACGCCGCGGGGAAACGATATGAAACGTCTGCAAACTTTCGGTTTGCTTTGAACGCCCCTCAAGCGTGATTGCAATGTCGGAGTAAAAGTTCGGAATTAAACTAGAATGAAATTGACACGGATGGTTCGCTCATCGTCGATGAAATTCCAAGTCAACAACAGGTTTGCGGGTGCTTGCGCACTTTGCTCCATCGTTGATAGAGAGAAATCGATGGTGGTTGATTGAAATGTTGAAAATTTAAAATTTCGATCGAAAGCACGTCGAAATCGATCTCGAGCAAAGTTCACTCGAGGTCGGTTATTGAGAATCAGCGAGCGATAGGTGACGTGGACGGGTTCGATCGCGGGGCGGGATCGAGCGCGTTATTAAACTCGCGCAGACTGCAAGCTCCACGTTTTACGCGGCGAACAATGTAGATTCCGGGACTTGGCATCCCGTAGGATGCGCTTCAGACTGCATTCGGTTTCCGGCCTCCGTTCCCGGCGAGTATATTGCACGGGTGCGCGAACGGCGATGGCGCGGAGCGGCGGCCGTGTCGTCTGCGGTGCGGTGAATAGGCTCAGGCGAAGTGCCAACCTCGAACTTTGTTTACTCGTTCCACCGCGCGCAACTTGCGTCCTGCTCGATAGGGCGGTCGACGCGAGCTGAACCCACGAGTGGACCGAGCGTCTCCCTTCCGCCGCGGGTGCAACACGTTGCGTCCGTCGCGCTCCGCTGGCCCCGAGTGTTCGCTTGCGCGAAAAAAATCGCTGAGAACCCCACCGCAACTTCTAGGGAAACGCGTCGTTGGCCCGAGTTTCTGGGCCGGCGGTGCGTCTTTCCTTCGCTCGAAGGACACACTTTTCTGTTAGAAAACGTGTTGGCAGTAGAACGTGGGTCTATCATCGAGTATCAAACATTTATCGTACAGTTGATTCTAAAACGTAGCATCCAATCTTCTCCAATACTCGAATCTTCATTCCAGCTTCCTAGAAAAGTCGACGTTCGTTCGGATCTTGGAAATTGCAGAATTCGATGGTACAAGTTCTCGGATGAAATCTGAAATTCCAGCACGCTCCGAATTTCTCCTCCGTTCGTCCGAGTTATCCAGCGTTGAATCGAAGCTGACGGTCGAGGTTCCATTACGGACAATTTCTCTATGGAGATTCTGGCCGCAACTTTTTTCCACTCTGGCATTCTCCCGACGAAAGCTCGGATCCCGAGGCGTGAGAGAGCCGTGCACGGCGAGCGGAGGGGCGCCCGCCGAGTTCGCTGCGCGTATCTCGTCCAGCGAGCGCGGCATCGATCCGCCGGACTTCGGCGTTGGAAGTCGAGGAAGTTTAGTCGCGGTGGCACGGCGCGCGGATGGTCGGGCGAGGATCCTTCAAAGGATCGTGAATGGCGAACAGCGAAAGCCCTGACGCTAACTGGAAAGCCGTTGACGCGCGGCAACGCGAGAGATACCGGCCGCGTTGCGACCGGCCCACGCCGCGCAGCCAGACGCGAATGAATGCCGGCACCGGACAGTGATTTCAATGAGCGAATCTCCCGGAATAATGTAAACACCGGCGCGAGCCGAACACCATCAACCGGGAGCAATGGATGTGCCCGATCCGCGTGTAGGGGTTGCGTGCGCGGTCTCTGCAGGGTGCATCGACCTTTAAACCCTACAGATTTAACGAGCGCCGCGCGTTTACTCGCGTTTACTCTCGCTCCTCGATCTCGGCCGGGTTTCTCGCGTCCTCGACCGACTACGATCCCATCGGAGTTTTATCAGTGGACCGTACCCGGCGCGGAGATCAGTGCAAATACGCGCTGAAAACTAGCCGCTTCAAAGTCCGCCAGTTCAGCGACAAACGCCAGGAATCGGTATAATTCGGGCTTCGCGCGGCGGAGCTTGACGCGCGTTCGACTTCTAACAACGTGTCGGACTCGTGCAGACGATTTTCGATTACTCGATTCTATTCGAATGGAATATTACTCTTGTCGATTAATTTACTTCAGAGGAACCATTGGCCTAGCGTATGTATAGAATGTTCTCTCTTTCAGTATGTTATTAATGAGAACGTAGGACTGATCATGGCAGAGAAATAAAGCACGAGACAAGGAAGAAGTCTGTTGTTGCTTCTAAATGGCAATGACGATACGCAAACCTAGAAACACGCGAGACCGAGCTCGAGTTTTCTCGATTCGAAGAGGACGCAGCGATATTTCAAGTCTGCGGGGGTGAACGAACTGCCGCTAGGTTGGGTGGGAATGACAAGCGTTTCAGATAGCGCGGCAGAGATCGAGTGGTCGTTCGGGGGTTTAAGTTCGGCTTTAGATTTCGCCAGGAACGCGGCTCAACGTTTTCAACTCGACTCGAGGGATGGATAGGGGCGCGCGTCGGAGAGCGCGACGAGACGAGACGAGACGAGACGAGACCAGACGAGACGAGACCAGACGACACGAGACAAGGCGAACCGGTTAAATCAAAGTTAATCGATCGGCGCGTTCCGCTTCGAATTCGAGACGGATCGATCGTCGAGCCGGGCCAGCATCTTTTTTTTCACCGCGAATGGTTTATCGGTCGGTGATTTATCGGCCTCAGCGGTCTCCGCGGTTTCTACGATTCTCCCGAATTTATAGCGATTACGCGCAGCCGTGTGCTGCGGAAGACAGGACAGAGACTACGGGACAGCCAATTAATCGGGCTGCGCCGCAGCCCGGCGCGCACTGCTCCGGATTGTCCAGACGAAAGAAACAAACTCTGGAACCCGATACGACGATAATCGAGTCGATGGAGTTAGACTGCGAATCCTTATGCAAATTCGAAGATTTAGGAATTAGGAGCAAGGAATATCGTGAACCACTGCGAAAATCACGAGACTCCGGAAATTTCAGGAACTGATAAGACACAGTTACAGAAATGTATGAATAAAATAGCTTCGTTCGTGACTTCTCGCTAAGTTAGCTTCAAGAAATGTCATCAGTGTCTCGCCAGAGAACTCTAGCGAAAAACTTTCCGAGCACGGGGGTTAATCTGATACCAAAGTTGCCGTGTCTTTAGACAGCGCGTACAGCAGACGATGCTTCCAATCTTTTGCCTTCAACGGTAAATTTTCTATTTTCGAACGATGCGCGTCGTCGAAATCCCAGGGGAAGTCCACCAATAAGTTACCTTTAGGTTCGAGTCCCACGCCACCCACGCGAAAATCGCCGTACGCCGGTGAAATAGCGCTGGCCGAGAAAAGAGCGCATCGCTAATGCAGTCGATAAAGAACCACCCATTCGTCGCCGCCTCCTTTCCTCGCGCGAGTCGCCGTGGATGAAAGGCGAGCCGACCGTTAATTCACGTACAATTAACCAATTTTCTATTTCGACTCGCGGGACGACTATCAATCGGTCCGCGCGCGCGCTCGATACCGCCGTCGCCTCGGAAAGAATGTTAATGGATTTCCGGCGTGAACAGCGTCGCTCGGCTTTTCGCGGTGTTTCCGAAGGGCGAAGGGAGATTAATCGACTTCACGGCTGAGCGAACGTCGCGCGACTCGACAATCGACGGCCGAAAAATCTTTGGAAATCGGTGGGCATTTTTGGCGAGCCCGATATCTGGCTTCGAAAGAGATACCTTGAACCCCTTGTCCTTACTAAAATATTATACAAACTCAGTAGCGAAGGTGAATAGAACGCCAAGGGGTTAACGATTGCCAACGTAAAAGTAACACCCGATCTGTACTCGAAAATAGCAAACAACATTTCGATTCGCGAAATCCTGAATTCTCATTGCGCTGTCATAGCACAAAGGGGTTAAACTCGTCGACTCTACTCAAAGAGAGGGAGAGAGAGAGCTGTAGTTCCGTGAGCCAACGGAATAGAGCATCCCGAAGTGTCTATTTGCTCGGTCGGCCTCGACAATCGGATTTCGAGATACCGATACCGAGCGCACCGGAACGGCGCGAGCGTCGTAAAACTGCTTTTACGATTGCGCGCGAAAGAAAGACCGATCGGCGGGTTTACTATCGTCGAATCGATGGAAAAGGGGGATTCGAAAATATCGAGTGCTGCCACGGCGGGAGAGAGAAGAAAAAAAGAATAAATAGGCGGCGGGTCTCGAGTGTCGGTCGGTCAGAACTGGCTCGTAAGAAGCCATCCCCCAGGAGCTTTCCGGTGTCAGACGCTTCCTGTGTTCCTATCTGCCTCTATATACCTATCGATCCTCGGCCTGCACCCTCCTCTTTGTGCCATCCGACTGTCGTCCCTCTCTTTCCGTCTCCCTTTCGACCTCCTCCTCCATCCAGGCTCGATCTATATTGCATTCGTGCCCTTCTGCGCGAGATGTCCTCGCCCGTAGCTCGCGCCGTAACGCTCAGGGTAATTTTCCTTGCATATTTATACGCGCGTCTATCGAGAAAACTGCCTCCGTTAAACGCCTCTCCTCTCCCCCGCCCTCCTCGGCGCATTCAGCTTTCCCTCTCTTCATCTTTTTCCCTCGCGCAGGCTTTTCCTTTCTCTTTTTGCTCGGGGTTAATCGCGTTTAATAGATTCTCGTTCACCGGGAGTTCGATGCTCCGCGAGCGTCTCGCTCGAGCAACAGCGAGAGGCTGATTTAGGCCTGATACACGCTGTCGGACAGCTCTCGGTCGGCTGTTCGTTGAATGGAATATTCTTCGACTGTTTACGACGCGTGTCTTCGTACTGGGAATCAAACTTCGATCTTCGTTAATGCGCATTAGGCGAAATGCACGGCGGCGATTGTTTTGAAAGAATGGAGACGCTAAGTTTTCCTATCCTTCCTCCCGCGAGACAAAAGAACTTTGTGTCCATTCTTCCGGAAGAATCGCAGCTGCGATATTTTAGCGCAAAACGCTCGCGTACGGTCCTAGTCGGGAACGCCTTAGATTTTTATTCGGCCGTTCGGCTCGTTAAAGGAGGACGCTGCCTTTTCTTCGTTCGGTTAAACGTCTCGCGCGGCTTTCGCGGCAGGGACTCGCTGCTCCTCGTCGAACGACAATCGTTATTCGTTTGTCATGCATATTTAATCGGTGTTATTCGCCTCTAAAAGCCTGGGGTCCAGCACCCCGGCGTTAGAATGATTCGAGCTCGACTGCGGAATAGAAATTCGTTCAAGGACGCGCGTGGGGACACGCGTCGGCTGAAAATTTCAGCGTACAGGGGTGCAGGGGATGACGATGCCCTCTTTCGTCAATAATTAATCCGCTGAATGATTAATCGGCATCCGGACGTCCAAACCGTCTGACTTAACCTGTCTGATTCGGTGCTGAATAATTCATGGCGTCGACGTAAGTTCGGAGTTCGCCTCGATCGCAATATTCGACGCTGCCCTAACCGCGCACAGCTTTAACCGCTTCCCTTCCCACGAATTTACATACCAAGATTAGAATCTTCGCCGCTCATTCCAGCGGTCGATCCGTCCTCGCGGGCGAATTCTTCTCGACAAACTATTCGCATCCCCGAGGAAGATGCGCGACGACTTTCAGCGCCTCGGCCGAAACCTTCGGCGAAGACGTTAACGCGTCGACTTTAGCCTTTGAAAGCGAGGTAATTTCCGGGTGCGACGCCGCGCAGCCGAGCCCGCCTCGAATCTCCCGAGCTTCCCATGTTCGACGGTCGGAGAGAGAATCCCGAGGACGCGAATCCCTTTTGAATTCGAGTCATCGATCGCGAGAGAGATTTCAATCGGCGAGCTCGAAACGCGGAGCGTGAAGGGCGGCTGGCTGGAAAGAGGATCCGCGATCGATTCGAAGCGTGCTCCTCTCACCCCAGACGCGAACCGCAAGCAGCCACCCTGGTACCGACGAGGACGCAGAGTCTTTGGCTTACCACGAGCGACGGAGTCCCCCGGCCTCCGGCGGCGGCAGCGATGGGTTCGATCGATCGATCATTCCCGGCGGGTCTCGGGGGTGAGCCCCGCGGCCGTGAATCTCTCTCCGCGAGGAAAGACGGAGGGCCTAGGACGGGAGAGATTTCGGCGATTGGACGGTCCGAGCGGTTCGGAGGTCGGTTTGTTCGGTCGAAGGGCCTCGAGGCCGACCCTACGCACCGGCTCGACTCGGTTCGGCGCTGCCGGCGCTGTCGGCGGTTCGGCGACGGGAAGGGGTGGCCGAAGGGGTGGCGGCGGGTGTGGAGGTGCGCGCGCAAGCTACCCCCGTCGGTGGACTGGCGTGTAACACGTAATCGAACTGGGAGCGCCGCGGTTCGTCGTCAGCTCCGTGATCCGCGAACGACAGGGCTGAATCTTGGACGAAAACCGAGCGAACGGGTAAACGGGGGGGACACGACCGCCGGGTACCGAGAGGAACACGCGAACGGCGTTCCGCGACGCGATCGAACGGCGAGCGAGAAAACCGGGATCCTCCTCGGGACTGTCCGGTGAAAGGAGGAACGTCGCATCCGAGTCGCTCCGACTGATACGGTGACGTATCGCTGGTGGTGTTGGTGTGCCAGTGGTTGGTGGTGGTCGGTGCACGAGTGCGCGAGGGTGTAGGTGCCACGGGGGACGTGGAGGCGATCGTACTTTGCCCGTCCGATGGAACCGAGGGGACGGGTTCCGGCCTCGAGCGAGACTCGGTGAATTCGAGTCGAGTCGGGGAGTAGGAGACTCGGCGCCGAGCGAAACAGGGTGTGTTACCGACGGGCCTAGCGTCCGAGTGCGGGCGTAGGGTGGACGAGCGCGAGAGGGTGCACTGGTAGCGGTAGGAGGGTAAACCGCAGCGCGTTCGCTGCCAGGGACGCGCGTGTGCTCCGCCTGGGGAGAGCCCGAGTGCTCGGTCGGTGTCGGACGACAGGCGAAACTCGGCGACGACGAGGACGACGAGGAGGACGACGACGACGACGACGACGGAGTCGCAATGGCGCCGAGTGCGGCTCCGTCGAGGAGTCGGCTGCTCTTCGCCGGCGGTTCCGCGACGTTCACGTGAGCAGCCCACCACCCCCCATGCTACTCGAGCCG